CCCAAGTGCTGTTGCTAGGGGCCTAAAAGCTTTGCATTCGTACGGAGTCTCCTTTAAGGAAAATCTTATCGCTAATTACCAACTCCACTACTTATCCTATTCTTACTGTCGAAAAATAAGAGGAAATATCGTAAGTGGCAATAATACCTTATCTGTTCTGATCTGATCTGACCTTTTCTGTCTATTCAAGCCGAGCTGATGTGAGCTTAGGTTAATAGTGATTGTAAAAGTGTGAGGCTCGTCAATTTGGAAGCAGGTTGGACCTAAAAGGATGGCAGAAGGCTTTCGAGCTTGAGCATGGACTATCGAATATCAGGCATTACCATAAAGCATGGTAAATACTAAGCCAAACTTCTATCAACCAAGACACTTGACTCGACTCATCAAAAAGAAGGTGGCCTCTATTCGTATAAGCGCATACGAATGCGACCTGATCGAAAACAGAATGTCAAGCTCATTTTAAATTGTTAAATTCAAAATCTTCAGTTTTATAAACATTTCAGAACTATTATGAATAAAAATTCGGAATTTACAAAATGTTTGTTCATTCTTGTCAACCATATCCGATATGTTTACGCTTGCTGTTACGTAAAAACTTTTTTTTATCATTATTATTTTTGTTAAGTTTATTACTCCTTAGGCATGATGTAAATGGAGCTAAACTATATCTGAAGTAAATTATATAAATGACGGAAACTATCTGCCGACGTAGTGATCTTATATTGATGCGTGAATAGTATTAAAGTATTGTTTTTTTCTGAATTTGTCACTTTAATATAATCACATCATTATGATAGCCTGTAATGTTTAATAAATAAAGCATCAATTTAATTTCAATTGAAAAATTATATGCTTTTCATATAGTTATATATACAAATTTTATGCTCGTTCTATTCGTTTATTCATCGGTTTATACGCACTGTTCAACTTAAACCACACGTACTTTAAGTACTAGAGACTTGTGCTTCGGAATGTACACACATTTTAACTATATGATCATGCTCTGATAGATAGTCCGTCTACAAAAGAAATTATTCAACAAATAAATTCTCAAAATATTGCCCACACTGCAGCGCAGCCCAAGCGCAGCCGCTGCTTACTGCGCAGTTAGCAGCGCGCGTCCAGATTGATTAGAATATCAGCTTGGAGGGCCGAGCAGTCTCGACTGGGGCTTCTTACTTGTTTTGAAAGGAATGTTCGTCAAGAAGTGCAAGACTTCAGGGAGCAAAGCGCTCGGTACCATCCTCTTCTGACCGTCTCCAAGAAAATTTTCTCTAACCAAGTTACCAAGACAGTAAATGCGTCATCGGTTTTTGAACCGTGTAATATCAATTTCATTTTCTTCGCTAATCAAATTTGAAGAGTTGAAATATTTGAATCGTAGCGAACGATTGATCCATAGTCATCTACTCAGTTGTATCAGTGGAATCTTTACAATGATATTAGCGCCTGTTGCTTTTCTCTTCTTCGGATTTTTTGACCTATCCTTGGGCTCACAGTGCAGTAAGAATCCTAAAATAAGTGTGTGCAAAGATGGATATTTTATTAGTTTTATTTTATTTAAGTTTAGCTGCTTGTAATGAGAGCTTTGCGGCTATTGGGACGTGTCATATGTTCTTACATAGATGGAGTTACTTTCTTCCAGAGGACACCTGCAAATTATTTGTCTATAACGGATGTAATGGAAATAAAAATAACTTCCTTTCCCAAGACGATTGCGAGGATGCTTGCATGTAGGAGTTTTGCATAATGAAACGCCTCTATTTGCAATAAATGTATGATAGCAGATAATCTCTAATTTTCATATTTATAGCTTGACATCTCAAACTCATTTGATATTAATCTGATTCCAATATTCTCTTTGAGTTTTAGGGGAACCGTTTGAGAGCTTATAGAACTAACTTTCAGTTTTATTTAGCTTCCGTTTACTTAGGAATCGGTGCGTCTCATGCAGAAATACTACATTTGAAATAACAGAAACGCGATTATTTAAATTTCCAACAAATGATTCAGCTGCATTTTATTAGATGCCGTTTAGTTTTTAGACTATAGGAAAATGCTAGAGCCCGAGACCCTAAACAGCTTTTGATGCATCAAGTATTCCATGAATTTAAAGTCCAGTTGATTTTCAAGTTTTAAGGAACTAGGCTCTGAGACTTCCTCAAAATAGTCATTAGTTCTCTTTCGTTTGATCACTACACTTCGACTAGCTTCTAAATTAAAAAAAAAAAAAAATAGTAAAATAAAATTTTATTTGTAAAAATTTAGAAAATAAAATTTTATTTTTCCTTTCGTGAACATCTAATAAAACCAAGTTTCAGAAAAATGTGTGGCCCATGCGGAGGTTGTGGTCCTTGCGGAGGTTGCGGTCCCTGCGGCCCCTGTAATCATTGGCCATGCTGTGGCCCTCACAGCCCGCCGTGCGGGGCACCTTCACCAATCCCATGCTCGCCTGCGCCAGGCGTTTGCTGTCCGCCGTTGCCCGAAGGTGGTATTCCCGACCCCCGTGTCTGGAATTGTTGGAATACACCACCTACCTATCCATGTAAGTTGGCACTCGTTCGGTAATCGTACCAGCACCCTGTGTCTGATGTGCCTTATGCAGAGCTCGCTGCTACATCACTCTGCAAAAGTGTTCAAAAAATATTTAATACGTGATTTTCCCTGTGTCCTTCAGGTGGATTTTGATGAATCAACTTCGAGGCCCAACGCCATGAAGGAAACGTTGGAGCAGTGTGGGTGCTGTTTATCTATATATAAACAGGAAAAAGGGGCGAGCTAGCTGTATTTGTGAAACTTTTGGTTTTAAAATCATTGGAAGCAAGTTGAGTATGGAATGAAAAGTATACATAGCACCACTAAGTCAACCGATCCAACAAGACTGAACTATTCAAGGAAGACTGAGTTTGTGCATGTGGCGTCTCGAACAGAATTTCATTACCACGAAATGTATGGTAGATACTACGTCAGACTTCTATGCATCGTGGCTCGAGACTCGGTGAGGTAACAGAAGAATTGACAGAAATTTGACGAAAGCAGTCACGGCAAACAAAGTTTTTCATTGAATTTTAAATTGTGAAATTTGAAATTTGAAGTATTCATTATTAGATTTTTTGGAACTTTGGCAAATTATATTTTGGACCCTTAAAAATTAGTTCTTTTAATCTAAGGGTGTTGGGGCTTGGAACAGAATTTCCTGTTCATAGATATGATAATCAATTAATCTAATCGCATTTTATTTAAAAAATAAGAAACGCGGCTTAAATTTTAAAAGTTTAAATATTTTTCGTTATCGATAGCTTGAAAATCAATCGCACAAATTTTGTTTAGTATTTTTGTGTCAGTTCAGTATTTTCGTTCTGCTTTGATTCAAACATCTGGTCGCACTCAAAAACATCATTAATGTCGAATGACTAATGATTAATGACTAATGGTGTAATCAATTAATGCATTACCATGAAAATTTTTTGTCAGCTTATGAAACTGTAGGTGGAGACTGAAAATAAGGGAATGTATACAGCAGCAGTCAAAAATAAGTTCACAAACAACAATTTTTATTTTATGAAATGGGGAAAAAACTTCAATAATTCTAATCGAAAAGTTTTTTAAGATAGGACAATTATACATATACATATATATAAGTATAACATAAGTATAACATAGTTCTTTCAAGAATATAAAGTGGATAGTTGCTTAAAACTGATTTTTAATTCTGTACAATGTTATGCCTCATTAAAACTAAAAATAATATTTGCAGAAGTATATAAACCTATATAAAATGTGTTGCTATATTAAAAACTATTTCCCGGTCGTGCTCCTTGAAGTTTGTCCCTTGAAACTTGTTCCGTTTCCAATTCCAAAATGACATTAGTCAAAATCTTTTTCGCCTGTATCTGAAGATCCCGATCCAAGCGTCTAATGCTTTGTACAATGAAATTGCCATAATGAAACAATTCATTGGGTTCCGAATTGCTTTGCTCTGTGTTGGATGCAATGCTATTGACGTTGGTAATCGCGAGTCCACTTTCATTTAGGGCTCGTCTCTTCTTGGGAAGTGGCGATGGTTCCGAGTCGCTAGCAGGAAATGTCGTATCCGGGGAACTCTTTAAGGCCGTATTCACTAATGCCGATGGTTCAAATTCCTCCTCTTCCTTCTCTATGACAACTTGCGGGCTTTGAACGTCGTGTGCATTGAAGGAGTCTTCCGTATGAAAGCTGCTCTCATCCGCCATCTCCAATTTCTACAAAAAGCAAACCCAGGTTTCGATTTGAAGTGCCATAACAATATGTACATAAGCAGTTGCTCACTTACACCAATGTTGCCCTTCACAGAGTTGGTCAGAGCTCGCTTGGAATTGGGCCATTGCAATATGAATTCCATTTTGGATTTGTTTTTCCAATCAAGCAATGAGCTCTTCTGATGCATATACTTGTAGTACGATTTCAGGTTGTTCCATTTTCTGCACACGTCAGCTGCGAGAAAGCCATACAATTAAATTCAAATCCATTACAATTATGTCAATATACTTGCTTTGCACAACATGAACAGCTGGGCTGTATTTAATGTTTATGTCGTCCGTCAACTTTTGCCAGAAATCGTTTTTCAAGTGCCTCAACTTGTAAAGTGGATTCGCTGGATTCCACAGATATTCCGCAGCTCGGACGCTATCAATAATAAAATCTGTCATTTCATCTGTAAACAATGACTCCATTTTTGATCCGATTTCTTCGCTAATTATTCTCTGTTCCGTTTGTTGTACACAAAATTGGTTGGCGTTCAGCGTCTCCATAATTACAATAAGCAAAAAGAAGAGTGAGAAGGCCAGCTGTATTTGCATTGGTATTTATAGCGTTGGCTGGCATGGTCACACTTGTGCAGATTTGAACAATTCACTATGTTTGTGTATTAAAACAAATATATATTATAACTATTTAAGCCAATTAATATAAATTCCTTATTGAATAAATAAATGCATATAAATGCATATACAACGCAGTTTTATTTTGCATTTGATGATCTTGTCTTATATTTATGTTACATAACTGTGTTTATACACAGTAATAAATATTCAACATTTAATATCTTCCATTCTCGCTCTATTTTTTCTTATCTTGCAGTTATTCAGTGAGTGCTCAGCATCCCTTTGAAATTATTATAATAATTACAAATGGGAGGATTAAGTTATTCTAGTCTGTTGCTGATATTTTAGTATTTATAGCGTACGCACGCATGGTCACACGTTTTATAATGATATGAATAATGCGGTTGGCCTTAACCGCATTTTATGGAGGACATATGTACATACTTATTTACAAACTTTTATATCTATTTGAGTAGTCGCAGTAGAAAAAAATATAATTTTGTAACTATTTTATGTTTTTTATTTATTAAATATATTTATA